TTACAAGGAGAGTGAGAAAAAAACAAAAAAAAAAAAAAAAAAAAAAAAAAAAAAAAAAAAAAAAAAAAACTAACATATTCTTCACATGTAAACAGAGTAATGTCATCGGGGGGTCGGTCCACGTTTTCATGTTGTGCAGCTTTGTGTTTTGCTGACACTGGCTTCACTTCTTTATTGTTTGGGAACCATACAGTCGATGTGTTGTATAAATAAAAACAGTAAAAACAAAGGCAAGAAATCGGACTTTTGAAGTGGTCATCGCTTTAACACGAAATTACCACTTCCTCGAAAAAGTCCCCTATATTTTGTCCGAGTACAAAACCAAAACAGTTTTTTTTATGAACATTAAGTAATGTTAAATAAATCTCTCTTTTTTTTAAACTTTTAAAATAAAACCCTTGTGTTATGATACCAAAAAGAATCAAACAAAACGGCAGTAACAAACAAGACAGAGGAAAAAGAAAGAAATAAATTAAAAGTCAATAAATAACACGGGGATTACACTGAGATCAAAAACATCAAAACAGCAGTGCCACAACAATATGAATCAGACACCGCAGGCTTCGGCTATAATCTGTTTTGGCTTTTGACTAATGAGATGAGGCGGAGGCGGGGTGGGGAGCGTGTGTGTGTGTGTGTGTGATGTTTTGATGCCAACAATACATGTTTGTACTGTTCATTTGAGGAGGGGCCTAATGTGGCAGTCAGTGGTGCATGACCAGGTCTAATCCTTTCCTCCAACCATCACTTTGTCCCTAATCTTATCTCATCAGTTCGTGCTATTCTAATCTACTTTTTGAAAGCTTATCAAGCTAATCGTTACAAACAGTGACAGTGCAGGAGGGAAGGCCACAATGTTATGTGTTTGTGACTCAGCTGTTTTGTATTGCAACATCAGCCACAATTAGATCAGCAGGTTGAAGTTTCTCCCATATCAGTTTTCTTTTGACCGGTTAGGGCTGTTTGTTTGCATGAGTGATAAGATTTTGAACAACAAAAGACAAAAATACCCAGATAAGAGCTCGGAGAACCAGGAAGAATGAAACTATTTGAGGGAGATGTGCGAGTCAACGAGATGGCCCATTTCAAGCCCCGTAAATCAGGTTTGGCTCGCCCTTTTAATCTACTTGCAAATTAATGCACCGCGCCATGTAGTGTAAGGAAATAAATATTCATGTAGCTAACTAAGAAAAGGGCAAGGACGTATCACAGACTCCACCGGGCTGGCCACTCAAATAAACATCGTATTGGTATTTTAAAGATACATTAAATTTCTCAAGCTTCATGGATTATGCAGAAGGAAGGAGTCATTCTCCCTGCCCCTGCTTTCTCCTCACGACACCCCCACTGTGTTTCTGTTTATACTGGCTGTCAGGTCATGATATCATACAATCAAATACCTTAAATACTCCTGACATAGACAGTCTAATGAGAGAAAAAAAATACAGCAAGCTAATACTGATGTAAAGCAGCACATTCATTACACTGATATTGTGCTTTTTTGCTTGCACCGTGTGTAACAGTTTGTTACCTGTGTGACATGCAAGAAAGCATTTGCCTGCTAGAAACTGCCTCACAAAAGTATTCAAGTTCTTTGAATTTTTCAGATTTTGTTGCAATCACAAACACGAATGTCTAACTGTGAAACATATGTGTGTGCTTCAGACAAAAAATAATCTGTGGAGAATGGCGTATACTGATCCCTCTTTATTCTCAAACTTAATTAGTGAATGCGGTCCAACATTTCAGCCTACACGCAAAGAATAAAACACTACCACTACATATCCACCTGGACACGCTGTCTACTCTGTCAAACATGGTGGAGGCAACATTATGCTGTGGGGATGCAGATGAGACTACATGGGGAGCTGAAGGAAACTCAAAACAAGGCAAAGTTGGTAGAAATCATGTAAAAAGCTGCAAAAGACTCGACTGAGGTACACCAAACAAATGGAAAACCTGCAACAGTCAGCCAGAGTCCCAATGAAATTGTTTAGAGATCAAAGCGTATCTCTGTTTTAGACTGAGGAGTTCAAAACCCACAGCCAAACCAAATCGAGAACCATTAGCAGTTCTTGAAAAATGCTATCCTCAATAGCAGAAAAGTTTAATTAAAAAAAAAAAAAATCATGCAGGCTTGTTGTTTTTCTTTCACTTGCTGTGCACCACTTTGTTGTCTAGCTATAGTAAAATTACAATAAAACATGTTTTTGATTGGATTATGACAAAATGCAAAACATGTCAAAGGGTATGAATACTTCTGTAAGACAGCTTGAAATTTGCTACTTATATTTCGCAGAACAAATTACTAACACACCCCTAAATTTGTATATATAGAGGTAAGAATGAAAAAGAGTTAAGATCAGGGAAAAGGTGGACTAATTAACCTGCACAGTGCCTCGCCAAGGACACTCAGATGCTGAGCCAGCACCTTGGATGTACAGTAAATGATGATGATCTACACTGAAGAAAATGTCACAATCGCAGGATACAACACTGTTCAAAATGATGTCTATTATGGCTTGGTTTTGCACCTTTAGTGAAAACAGACATGGAAACGAATGCCTATTTTAATGCGGTTCCCTCTGCTTCCTGTGTTTGACCTGCATTCATAACTGTTAGGACACAGTGTACTACTTGCTTTTGTCAGTGAAACAGCACCATCCTTCTGCTGAGCAGGATGAGCTGCATCTCTCTTTCTCTCTCCCTCCCCACAGGAAGTTGGGCTGGCTGACAGACTTCTGCCTCTCTCAGGCTGCATGACTAGCAGAGCACACCAAGCTGGCTCCTGCATTTCATTCTGACGCACGCCTTCAGCTGGTGACGCAGTGAATAGGGGAGAGTTATTTTTTGCGTCATTTTTGGCTTGACCATATATGGGTGTTTTTTTCTTTCTTTTTTTTTAAGTTGCACGCAGTAATTTTGGTTTGATGTTGAATATGTGAATTGTGCTTGAGCCTTTCTTACCCTGCATTTTTGTGCAGATGGACACGGCCTGTCTCTGAGCAGCTCCAGGCAAACACAAATATGCAGAAGGTTAACAGGTTATGTTAAACAGCAACACACATTTCATGAGTTCCTACAATAGTTGGAGTGGAAGGGAAAATAACGTAGAGTTTCGTGAATTTATGAACAAGTGCCAGCATCTCAGTGCCAGCAAGTATAAATTTATAATAATTTTAAAAATTGAATACATATGAATGGGATTCTTGTTTTGTAAATAAAATTGTATTGATATTTACTCTTTATACTGTAAATACTAATTTAGGTTATTTAAAAGCAAAATAATGTAAAAAACATTATTTATAATGTAAGAAAAACATTATAATTATAATTATTAGATGTTTATTATCTTTAAACAAAATATTAAATACTGTTCCTATGTTATTATTTCCAAATAATAAGTTACAATATTTTCTGCCAAATAGTTTTTCATCCTTAATGTTGATATTAACATATCATTTTAAATAACATACAAAACATCGCTAATTATGAAAGTAAATTCAAAATTAAAACTGAAATAAAAAGTAACTAACTAGCTGGTTACAAAATAAATTGTCTTTACTTTGTAAAATGCAACATAATGACACAAATACTTAAATATCAAAGAAAAAGGCACATGTTGGCTAATCAATCCAGATTCATAACGTTGGTGTTTTGTTTCTACAAGATTGTTTACAAAATAACTTAATATTTAATTAATCTTTGTCTAATTCATAGTCTTGATCTTTTATTTTGCGAATATACTATCATTACAAAAATGATAATATGAAAAAAAGAAAAGTGTATCAGTCGGTGTTTTATAATCCACCCAAAGATTTATACAACAAGGTCTTATTCGGTTGTCTTTTTGGATCCATATCCTGCTAAAAGAAAAAAAAAAGGGATCATGGGAGTAGATTCTATAAATAAAGCTACGCTGCTGTGTGACTACGCGTAAATGAGTCGGAAGAGGGCAGAGTGATAGTAGGAGGGCTTTCTCCTCCTCCTCTCTCTCCAGCATTCATCCCGTTTCCACCAATGAGCCCAATGAGCTCAGGGCGCACCGCCCACTGCCGGTGTGTGTGTGTGTGTGTGTATGTATGTGTGTGAGTGAGTGAGTTTTTTTCTCCTTCGCCTTTCCCTTCCTTTTTTTAAGCCAAAGCTGGATGTGTAGATCGTCACATGTTGTTTCCTCTCTTCAGTCTGAACATCAGCCGGCATGTGTTATTTATTGCTTGGCTGCGGGAGAAGACGAGCGCAACGTACGGCTCTGGAAATAGAGGATTAAAAATAAAGCGCGGAGTTTCTTTTTTTTCTTCTTCTTCTTCTTCAAGCGACTCCTGCAAATTCAAGCGCTGCGGTCTGGTCTGGACTAGAGGAACACGAGAATGGCGAGTCCGCCAGCAACGGGCGGTCAGGCGCTGATGACCAGCACTAGTAATACAAACGCCAATAGCAGCGCGAAAAAATGTGGATACCTGAAGAAGCAGAAACACGGACACAAGCGCTTTTTCGTTTTAAAGGAGCCGTGTGAAGGATTCCCTGCCCGGCTGGAGTACTACGAGAACGAGAAGAAATGGAGAAACAAGTCCGCCGCTAAGAGAGTTGTTCCCCTGGACTGCTGCCTCAACGTCAGCAAGAGAGCGGACGCGAAACACAAGTATCTTATTGCTCTTTACACCAAGGACGAGTATTTTGCCGTGGCGGCGGAAAACGAACAGGAACAGGAGAACTGGTACCGGGCGCTGACGGACCTAATGGCCGAGGGGAAAGTGTGTGACGGCTCGGCGTCCAACTCTGCGTCCTCACTGGTTGGCTTCGACGAGTCGAGTTACGGTGTAATAACGCCGGTGGCCGCCGCCTACAAGGAGGTATGGCAGGTTAACCTCAAATCCAGGGGACTGGGACAGAGTAGGAATCTGACCGGTGTGTACAGGCTCTGTCTCTCCAGCCGAATGATCAGCTTCGTTAAGCTCAACTCGGAGGTCGCCTCTGTCGTACTACAGCTGATGAACATCCGAAGGTGCGGCCATTCCGACAGCTTTTTCTTCATCGAGGTGGGTCGATCTGCAGCCATCGGTCCAGGGGAGCTGTGGATGCAAGCTGATGACTCAGTAGTGGCTCAGAATATCCACGAAACTATCCTAGAGGCCATGAAAGCCATGAAGGAGCTGTCGGAGTTCCGCCCTCGCAGCAAAAGTCAGTCATCTAGCACCAACCCCATCTCTGTGCCAACAAGGAGGCATCTGAATAATCTCCCACCGAGCCAGACTGGCCTCCCCCGGAGGTCCCGTACTGACAGCACCTGTGCCACATCTCCTGTGAGTAGTAAATGCCTGTCTTGTCGTATACGCACGGCCAGCGAGGGCGATGGCACCATGACACGCCCAATGTCTGTCACCGGGAGCCCCCTCAGCCCAGGGGTCCACAGGACCCTCCTAAGCCGGTCTCACACCATAACAGCACGCCCCTCCTTGACTTTTGAATCTTCTACTCTCCAGCATAGTAAGTCCATGTCTATGCCCCTGTCTCATTCTCCGCCTGTGGCCACCCCATGTCCAGGACATGTGTCCAACTGTGTGGACAGCAGTGTCCCCCGCCCCTCCAGCTGCAGTGCATCATTCTCAGGCTCTCCCAGTGATGCAGGCTTTATATCATGTGAGGAATATGGCTCCAGCCCTGCTGATGCACGGGACCTCAGGTTACCCCTAAGCCTTCGCAGCAACACTCCTGAATCTCTGAAAGCAGACACCCCTCCCTCCAGGGATGGGAGTGAACTTGATGGCTACATGGTGATGGAGAGGCAAAATCAGAATGGTTACCGGCGGCTGTCAGAGTTGGATAAAGTGTATCGAAAGCGAACATACTCCCTCACTACCCCCCGTCAGCAGAGGCGCCCCCCTCAGGTGTCCTCAGCTTCTCTGGATGAGTACACTCTCATGAGAGCCACATACACCAGCGGAAACCGGTCTTCTTTGAGGTGTCACACGGCCTCACCTAAAGGAAGTGGGCTAGAAGATTACAGGGATGTTCACATCAGCTCTAACAGCCTCCAAGGTGACAGCGGCTACATGCCAATGATGCCCGGGGTTGCACCCAAGACTCCAGGGTCCAAGGACGACCCCTATATGCCCATGAGCCCTATGTGTGTTTCTGCTCCAAAGCAGATCATCAATCCACGTTCACACTCCTGCACCGCAGGGCTGGCCCCACGCACAGACTCCCCTGGGAGTATTTCTCTGGAGGACAATGGCTACATGCCTATGTGGTGTGGACACAAAATGTCAGTGGAAAGCAGTGATGGAAAACCAAGCAATGGAGAGTACTTGTACATGTCTCCCGTTGATGCTCTGGTTTCTCTCACACCCCCAGAGTACCTTCTCAGCCTCTCAGGAGACCCACACCCCCACCACAGACAGCCTTATTGTTACAGCTCCCTACCAAGATCAGTCAAAGGACAGTTGCAGCGAACTGGGTCTGCTGACACCGACCAGTATGTTGTAATGAGTTTACAGAGACAACGGATAGAAGAAGAGTCAAACGGTGGTCCCGTTTCACCTGGAGAATCTGGAACTGGTAGCTCCCCAGGCACGCCAACCACTCCATCTTCTCTCCCTTCTCCTCTAAAACTGACTCGGTCAGATGGAGGCCTGTTGCACCGCAGCAGGGTGTGCCGGCCCACCCGCCTGGCTCTGGAATCCCTTCGAACACTACCATGTATGAGTGAGCATCCCCTTCCCTCAGAACCTCGCAGCCCTGGAGAGTACATCAACATTGATTTTGGTAGTGCTGCCGATGTCCCACTGTTGGAGAGCTCAGAGGCTGGAAGCGTAATGTGTACAGAGGAGGGATCACTGTCTCTGTCAGACTATGCTAACATTGACATCAACTCATCAGTTCATCTCGAATCACACCAAGGAGAAAGTTCCCACCCAGTGGGGCGTCTTAACCATACATCTGAAGTCTTGATGTGCTCCAGCATGGTGAGCAACCAGCAGGACACACAGAGAGTTGAAGGGAAGGAGGACGAAAAGAGAATGGAGGGAGAGACAAAGACAATGGGACAGAAAGGGAGTCCTGTATGTGAGCCTGCTATTACCAAAAGTGACTACACTGAGATGACCTTTGCCCCCCCTGCTCCTTTATCTGTTCTCTGCACCACTGATGCCACCCCTCTCCCCACCAGCCCCACTGCATGTGTGAAGAGACTCAGCCTTGAAAGCAGCTTAGTGGATGTGGTGCCCCCTGTGCCAGTGGATTCTTTCCTACTTGGGGCACCATCGTTATCTCTCACTGTCGTAGATCCAGACCGGGGGGCCAAGGTTATCCGGGCTGACCCTCAGGGGCGTCGCCGCCATAGCTCCGAGACCTTCTCCTCCACCACCACTGTGACGCCTGTGTGCCCGTCTTTCGCCCATGACACCAAGCGGCACAGCTCCGCATCTGTGGAGAACGTGTCCCGCTCTGTCCACAGCTCCGAGGAGCCCGGCGAGGACCACAGCAGCCCCATGTGCAGGGAAACATCAGCGGGGTATCAAAACGGACTGAACTACATTGCCTTAAACTTGATGGAAGGGAACCTCGGAGGGGGCAGGTTAGGATCATGCGACAAATTCCTGAGGTTCAAGACGACTTGCGGCTGCAAAGGGGGTCTAAATGGGTTCAGCGCCAGCCCCTACACCAGCCTGGGATTCAAGGAGACTACTACTGCTGCTGTGAAAGGTGAGTGTTTGTCCTTATTGCACACGCCCTTTCATTCAGTAGGTTTTTCATTCATAAAGGGAGTGGTGTAAGGGTAGAGTAGGATCAAGATCCGCCTCAGTGAGCCAGAGATTGGCCACGCGTAACATCACTTCCTACATCTTTTGCACTTCTTCATGTTGACACTGTCTGCAGTAAAACATATATCTTCATCCGCATCAAGCTTGTTTGGCCATTTCTTCTTTACCTTGCAGATCTTTCATAACCTCATAATTGTGACTCTGTAGTGTGTTGAAAATAACCAGCACCCGGTCATCAGCTGTGTCTCTTTTTTACTCCTCCACTGCTAATATAGTGATATGTAAACACAGGTTGCAGAAGTCTCACAGAAGTAAACCAGTTATTAACATGGCTGCTGGGTGTGGGCTGCCATGTTTAGATAGGATTAGTCACCTACTCGTTCCACCCATCCCTGAAACATCTCAAGGCTGTGTGATCCTGAGGAAGTCTTTTATCTTGTTTGAAACTGCAGAGCTATCGTGCTGGAAACAGTTTTATTTCTCTTCCCAAATAAGAGAGTCTGAATTACTATTATGAAGTAAACAAAGGATACAAATGGAGAAAATAGTGTCTATTTTGGGTGCAGCACATTGTCTTTTTGCTCCTTCTTTGGTTTACTGAATTAGCCGAGAAGAGTCATACTATATTGTATTCTCCCTCTGCAGCCATCTTAATTTGAAAGTGCTTCTTATGGTTGTATTCTGTTTGGCTTGACGCTTCCATCATGTGTTTTGTGTGAATGGTTCGCTCTGAGCTCCCTCAGTGACGCAGTTTTCGACCACGTCAGTATGTCAGGGAAAAAAAAAAAAATCTAATCTTCTACAGTGACGCACCACATTATGATCCTACTGTAGAAGGATCTAGAATATGTTTTATTTAAAGTGTCTTGCGCTGCGTTTTGTAACCATGAAACGGCTAACATTTGGGAGAGGAGCAGCAACGGTATTCCTCCCCCCTCCATCAAAATATTACCTTTCCCCTCATTTTGTTCGGTGTTGCATCAGTGGCTTTTCGTACATGTGTAAATGGCAGGGGTTTATTTACAGAGATTGATGACCTGGCAGGGGCATGTTAGAAGTTGTTGTTTGCCTGAAAAGAAAATTCAGAGAGACGGGATCGTCATGAGTCACAAAAATCTGTGTTCCTGATGGTGAAATAGTAGAGTTTAATTAGTGTTTGTGCTTTCACAACCGGGCTTGTCTCCCCTTTCTGGTCCCAGCCAAGGCTCTCGCTCTGTGAGCCGCAGCCGGCGTGGAGCTCAGTGCAAGTCATCGGGTTCCCCAGAAAAACAAGTGAGTCAGTTGTTTATCAATTGTCAGGTACTGGGTTTCAGAGCTGGAATGTGGGCAGTGTGCAAAGGTTGCTGGGAGAGGTGAATGCTCACTTGTTTTTCTAACCTGGTGGGATGGACTTAGAGGAGCAGGAGGAGGAGGGGGTGATGGGAGGATTCTTTTCTTTTCCCCCTCTGTGAGCAACTTCACAAACATGCCAATGAAATGTTCTTTTACAAGAACAAGCTCTGATAAACATGTTTTGTATGGGGATAGTTGACTTGAAAGAGACACACGTGCACTGTAAACGTGTACTTTCCGACCTGTTGAAAATTTTCCTGGATTGTTCAATAATATTGAAACTCCTCCCTGTTTGGAGATGGTTTCGGGTAAATTCATCCTTTTGACCAGTTTGTACCCCCATTTTGTCCCATTTTTAAGACAACCTAGGTTGTATTAGTTCTTCTCTCTATTGATTATTATTTACAGGATTTATAAAGAGATAAATAGTCATAAAGATTCTAAAATTTAATGTGTAATTCAGTTGAATGTTATTATTTGTTTTGATCCTCATTTGGAGCCGTTTCCTCACACAATAAATGTCCAATTGAGTGATCATTTATTGGAGTAACTTTATTATGTTATAGACATTGACATAATGAATTATGAATTGACGTGTGATAAAGCATCTCACAGTAGACATCACAATGTCACATGCCAAAAAGTCAGGTAGAAAAATGACTAAAAAGGTGAAATGAGCTGGAAATGTGAAACTTGTTTGTTTATTGGGGCATTAATGATGGCAGAACTGCCTTGCCCCCACCTGTTGCTACCCAACACATTTAGCTGAAATAAGGTGAACTACAGTTTGAACTTTTTTTACAAGAATGACAAAGTCTGCTGTTTGCAAATGTTTCTAGTACCATACCTTCATTCACACAGTGCTATTTTAAACACTAAAATAAAGTATAACCTGCTGAATGGCTACCAGAGCAGGTAGCCTGACTAACTAGTTAATATCAATTCATTATTCTTACTGAGGAAAGAGGGGAGCAGCAACTTTAGCAGTTGCTTATATCTGTTACTAATAAATGTGACAATATTTTAATTAATAACTGTAGTAGGAGTAATGGTAACATTTAAAAAAAATAACTTTAGTGTTTTGACTACGCTTTATTGAGTAATGGGACATAAAAGGCCTAGCTATAAAGCAAACAGAGAAAATAAGCAGGGGGAAATGTTAATCAGTCTTTGCCCATTTAAAGATGAGTGACCTCTGGCATGAAAATACCAAATATTTATAAAAAAAAAAAAAAAAAAAGCCACGCCTGTTTACTACAAGTTGACAGGCTTTGCCACATTCCCCGTGTCTCCTGGGTACACTGTTGTTTACATTCCTGCCATTCTTCATGTACATTTGGCCATCACCTGCTGTAATCTGTCATCCCAGATCACAGAAGGAAGACGCTGCTAATTTGTTACCACTTCCTGTCTGTCAGTGTACGGAGGAAGTTCTGCAGGTTTCAGTTGGAAACGTTATTGGCCTGCGGACGGTAGCCGCATTTCTCTTTATTTGTGTTGCAAATTTCAGACTGACTCTTTTCGACTTTTCACAACGACGAAGCAAATTAGTCAAATTGCCATGTTATTCTTGTCCTTTGTACCAATGGAAAGTTTGCGCTCTAATTCTTGCAATGAGCTAAAAACAGAGTGATCTTTTTGGTCGAAAGTGGTAGTTAAAAATTATTACATTTGAGAGGCACCAATAAATTTTTCTAATTTATCTGCCCTGATCAGAAAAAGACAAACCAAAAATCTGTTTTTTCTTGTTGATTAACTAAATACTTGATGATGATTCTCCATCTATGAATACATCAAACAATTGCATGTACTTGGATGCATTTTTTTTAATTTAATACAAAAATCACTTAAAGATGAAGAGAACTAGTCTTTAAATTAATTTGTTTTGTCAAAACAAACATCTCTATTAAAGAACCTGCAGCACATTCTCCCTCTTTTATAAGGGATAGCTGGAAAGAAAGGTCAGAATGTCATTTTGTCAAAGAAAGGAGATGCATATCAGTCAGGAAAAGCCTGATTGGTGAAGCCTTACCTTACACAATTACAGATTAAATTTACTGACCTTTTCTTTGCAGAATCTGAAAATTCCCTCCTACCGCAAGTTGAATAATTTTTGATGTGAACTCTTCGAGGTGTGTCCACCTTTGTTTATGCCTCACGGCTCTTTTTCAAAAGAGGACTAAATCTACCTGAAGGACGCGCAAAAACATGTTTTGAAAATGTAGAGGAGGCTTTCGGCCAAATTTAGACTGCTTTGTCAGTTTTTCCTAATGCCCTGAAGTGAACTCTGATGGAAACACAGCTTTTGTCATTTACTCGTCTGGGTGTCAGGTGGTGTTGTGTTGAAAGGATTATGACAAATCCACTCACTTAAATTTCTGTTTCGGTCAGAACAGGTAAAGGAGCCCTGTTTGGTGTTTTAACACCTTCTCTTTATTCCTTTTGTTTCCCCCTTTTTTTAAGACTACCTGCTAATGTTCTTCATCATCCTTCTGTTGTTTCTCACCCCCAATTTTCCATTATTTTGTTTTTTTTTTGTTTTCTAATTTATTTTTTTTATACGCAACATTTGGTTCTTTGAATCAAAGCAGTCCTGCACGGGTGCAGACGGAGGGGGGAAAACTGACTCACGCTCTCCATTTGTGGGCCCAGACTGCTCGCCCACCCCCTATCCCCGAAAATACACACACCCACCAGTCACACATTCTGACTTTGTGTGCCACTACCATGTGCGTAGATATACAGCTATCAGCAGATGGTGGGTAGTGGGGGTGTGGTGGGGTCAGGGGTTTCTGCACCTGCCCCGCCAAGCAGTACTCACTGGTTATCTGGCCCCTCCGAGGAGAGTGACAATACGGCAGTGACTGGCCACCATCTGCCACCACAACAACAGAGGGAGAGGGTGTGTGTGTGCGTGTGTGTGTGTGTGAGAGAGAGAGAGAGATGGGAGGTGGGGGTGTGGCCAAGCAGTTTCAAGAAGCCAACCCGAAACCCTTCCCCCCTTTCTCTCCTCATGTGCGTCCTCCTCCTCCCCCATTCCTCCTCGTCGTCGCTCTTCAAGACCGTGGTTTCTGTTTTTCAGGAGCCATGTGAATCCACTCCCCCCGAGCCTTTTTATATTCACACATCCAGTGCACATGGGTGCTTGTTGTTGTTTATTGAATCTCTGATTGGGTTTTACACACAACTCACTGGCAATTGTTTGTGCACGTTAGAAAATGGTCCCGCTTCTCATTTCAGCCTCATTTCCTCCATATTACTTGCATCTCCGTTTTAGGACACAGTGTTGTGTGCATCCTCACCTGTCCCAAACACCCCCTGGCCTGCAGACTCACATAGGCAGCGTCTCTGATACATAACTCTTTGAGCAAAGTAGGACGGGATGTTCCAGCGCAAGATCAAAACAAAGTTAACCTCACGTATCCTCAATTTAGCTTGGAGGTAAGACGGATTACATTCTCGTCAGGATTAGACATTGTTCAGTAGCTTGTTTTTCGAAAGGTGAAGCAGCGACAGTGGCTCTGTGTGTGTGTGATGCTAGTACGCAATTGGTGTGTTCGTCCTGTACCCAAACACACGGCAGGTGAGAGGGATCTAATGTAAGGACAG